ATGAACATTTGCATTTAGCAATAGAAATAATGATTAGAAGATGCATTTCAAAATATTTTATGAATGCCTAAGCCTATCATCAAGTTCGAATCATAGACGCGGAGGTATTTCCTTCGACACAATCGGTACGAATAGGTACACTGTTAGGTCAACAGTGGAATTTTCTGTTTACGCGTCGGTTGCATCATACCCTGGTTCGAAAACAGGAATCCCTTCTTCGAGCAATGTATATACGTGACGCTACATCGTTTCCCCGTTTACGAGGTATCACATTAACATTATTGTTCCATAGAGACGGTGCGATTGTACGAAGAAAAGGAAGAAGAGAGAGGAGAAAACGTTTAACGCAACTAGCGCCGGTCGGATCGATTCCAACGCTTACCCAATGCTACGTAATTATTTCGCGTGTGCGTGACGCACGCCAAGGGTCCGCTATTATTATCTTACATGGAGAAATATTGACCCCGAGACATAAAACGAAAACTACGTACTCACGATACTAACATCGTCGATACGATCTTCGCGTACACGTATATACATATGCTGATTTGTGCAATCGAATACGAGTTTCGTCACGATACCGCGCTTATAATTGCCGTTTTCCCGTACCGCGCTCGACTCCGTCAGTTTTATCGATCGTTCGTGGAAACTGTAACCGTACGATGTTGTAAAATTATTCAGATCACGTTCTTAGACGTTCGATAATTACGAATCGTGATTAGAGTTTACGACGAGCAGTAAAGTTTCGCCGGGGCCATCATGGCACGTGTTACGCACGATAAATTTTCGAGAAAAGGGCGACAACCTCGTCTCTCGTTACGTTCCTGGTACGCGCACGTGCGTGCATCTACGTGTTACATGCACACGCCTAACAAACATACGAATACTCGGGCTCCCGTTAGCGCATGGTAATATACACGTAAAGAAACATGTAATGGCTAAATATGACTCATCGGGAACGTGTTATGTAGCAGTCGAGCCAGGCGATTCGGTTTCTCGAAGCGGGAGAAAAGGATGTCCGACTATCGATCATCAGGAAATGCAACTTTCTTCTTTATCTGTAAAAGCGCAGAAAATGCATTAGACAAGGTTAGAATTCATTATCGACAAAGTACAGAACTTGCATTCTATTCTGTTACCGAAGGAGGGCGTTCGAACAATCGATAAAATCGATACATCACGTCGCTAAGGTCGTTGACTTTTACCGACGTGATAGATCGATCGATCACGTTACGAAACTAGTCGGTAAAAGAAGATCAACAAATGCGTAGACGGAAATGCATAGGTTTCAAAACACTTCTCGGATTGTCTTACGTGGATGGGAAAATTTGGTGATTCGAATAATGTCCGTTTCGCAATCGTTCGACGAAATAACGTATACCGGTGGAACACACGACACGTAGGACGTCTATATGCATTTCGTCACTGCAGAAATTTACGTGGGCGGTGCTTTTGCTCTGACAAAAATCATTGGATCGATAGAAGTTGCTGCGACGATATGAGTCACGCGAACTCGCGTATACGTAACTTCGCCGGTGAAATTCCAGGCGATTGCTCAATTTCGAGCGGACTTCTAAACTGCACACACTCTTTGTAGCATTGTAACGATTCAGAATACATTTATTGTATTCGTAGCCTCATTGCAAAATCTGTTCTATCTCTCTCTCTTGCGAAACGGATTAAAAAACAATTTAAGGTTAGGTTTAGTTCGAAATTTAAAGAAAACCTGAATTACAAAATTATAGGTTATATCGTAATTGTTCTCATTAACCTTAATATTTAAATGAAATTATTTGACGGTGTACTTACATATAATAAATCTCAACTGCGTTTCTGCTTCGCGAAATGCCAATATTAACCGCGTTTCCCGGAATTTATCGAATGAGACAGGCTTCCGACTAACCGTGACACAGCTTCCCTGCAAATAATTGAGGTTCAAGATGCATAATTGGCAAAGCGATTCAAACGCATTATGAAAATCTGCGAGGTAGTATAGGCACGTTGCCCGATTAGAAAAGATTTGCGGATACAGGCATATTTGCCAAGATAGTAAGAGGCTTTTACGACACAAGAGGTTGACAGTCGCTTCCAACGAGCGTGTATAGCACGTGGTCGTAGAAAACGCACGCGTTACGATGCAACGAGACTTATGCAACATTGACCGCGTGCTTCAACGGTTAATTCACGAACTCGATCTTTTGACTTCGCTATCTTTCTCTACTTCATGCTCTTACGTTCGAAACTCGAATCTTTTGAGGTTACGGATCGTAAAAATTTTTTTATAAAAAACAGTAACCTCGATACAAAAATTACTTACAATTTAGATTTATTTACTACGCAAATGAAAAATATCTGAAACAGAACTCTGCGGCGTAGAATGAGGAGGTAAAATAAATTGGCAAATGAGCAAAAACTATGATCGAGCGTAGGAGAATTCGGTGAATTTAAACAGGGAATGAGAATAATTGAGAAAAATGCAATGACATGTACCTGTGACTCGAAGAAATTGCTTTTTCTGAATTTTTATCACGGCTTGGCGGGCACGCGTCACTACCGAACTTTCCGTTACAACGCGCCTTCGATTCTCGAACAATGCTTGCGATTCTCGAACAATGCTTGGGATTCTCGAAAAGTTGCGCACACGATTTTTGCGCATGGCGTCAAATTTGAAACACCAATTTGCATTTTACTATTCGATAAACAAACGTCATACGAATTCGAAATGCAACGTCATTTTCATATTATAAATGCCAAAGGTTGAGTAAACAAACATTTGCACCATGCAATATATACGTAAACAGCGTAGATGCAGCACGTGGCACGTTTTACCGACACACACGTGCTTTCTTACGTAATTGCGATTCGTATTTGAATTAATGTTCGCACATTTATCGGGGATGTACATAATACAAAAACATTCGCGGCTCGTTCGACGAACGGACTCGACAACAAATTATTTTTAATTGCTTTGCTATATGTAACTACGCTAGCGAGTCCACTTACGAATCAGTTTCAGCCAACGCAATCGATTGCCATAAAATTATAACTTTTACGAGTTTAGTTGGTATTTTATGAGCGTCGGAAAAAAATTCATGCATTTATCACCTTTATAAAAATATTATTTCAATGACGCATACCTGACGTCCGTGCCGGTGGGGAAGCCATCTTTGACTGATTACGAAAGTCAAAACTACTTCGTGTATAAAATTTTAAATATCGTTAAAACTTATAATTTATTCCTATTTAGGGTATTTTCGAATTAAGACGTAGAAATATTTGATAATAAGTTAGAAGGAATTGTGAGAAGCAATTTATAATAATCGATCGTTTGATCGATGTAGATCAGGGAAAGGGCGCGAAAATTGTAATAATTCAAATTTGAACAAAATTTCGTATCGATGATTGGAGAGTAATTTCATGAGATGCAGGTAATGTTTCGACTGGCAATGTTGCCGGGTTCACTGACATTTTCGACCTTGAGGAACCCGACCTTACCCAAGGCTATTTTGCGACTTCTCGTACTCGGACCGGTATTGTTGGCAGTACGAGCACGTCTTTCGATCTCTCGGAATTCTTCACCTTTGGCCGTCGGCGCCACTCTTGCTGTGTAACGGTTACGAAAGCTTTACCAGGTTTCCCCTGATGGATTGATCACACCCACGCGTCTTCGAAGCTAATCGTTCTTAAAATAATTTCAAGTGTCGAGAAAACGCTGAAGACATCTTTATGCGATTGACCTTGCGGCAAAATTAAAGACTTTTGAGAATATGTAAAGTACGGGGGTACAACGAT